GGAACTGTCCCAGTTCCGCAGGGCTCTGCATGTGTCAAGACATGCAAGAGTACTATACACTGATAGGCAGATGATTTAAAATGAGAATGAACAAACAGGAGCTTGATAAGAGTGCTGTTAGCCTGGACTCAAGATGGTGTAAGAAAACCTAGAGCACAGGACAAAAGAACCAAACAAAAGTGTCTCTCTGAAGTATTAACTCTCCTTGTAATTCATTTTTATTTGGAAATGAAAGTTGAACTGAGTTTATGCCTGCAGTCTAATCTCGGCGCTGAAATTGCTGTCAATAGCTCATTGATCACAGGATTAAGTCAGTGCTGGCCTGACACTTTTACTGTCTACAACTTTACAAGCTGTGCTAATGGAGACACTGGAGAATTAAGATGAATCGATGTTTACTGAGGTCTGTCAGGCGAGGGATTTCCTGTCTCCCAGGCTGGGGATTGGCAGCAGTGGAACAGTGTGTGTACAAACAAGATTAGGTTTTTACCAACACTGAGCCAGGAGCAGGGAGGAGCCCGTGCTCAAGAAAGATCGCCTGGACTGTTTAACCACCACCTTTTTATGGGAAACTGGAAATACAACCAGATTCTTCTGCTAAGGGGCACTGTGACACCTCTTCCTTTCCATATCACCCATCCATCGATTTCAGAACCCCTTCTTCCAATTGAGTGTCACAGGGGAGCCAGAGCCTATCCCAGCAAGCAATGGGTGCAAGGCAGGGTGCACCTGGGTGGGACTGTTGACCCCAGGCCAATTTTCCCAGAAGTCAGTAGCTACTAGTCAGCTACCAGTTTATCTATTAAATATGGGGAGAAACTGGAACATCCAGAGTAAATTCATGTGAACATGGGGAGAACATACGGACTCCACACGAACAGCAACTGCTGGGACCACAATTGATCTGAATTGGGCCCCAGCACCACGATGCCACAGCCCTTTCTGTGTTATGTGCAACCACAAAACAGGCTTCCACAAACAAGGAAAATCTGAGCATCTCTTTTAACAGTGATTGCTGTCCAATGTGCACGCATTCCATTAGATTGCATGCACATTGGACAGCATCTATTGTTAAAAAAGCCATGTACTGTGGCATTGCTTTTTTACTGGAGTGCAAATGTCTTGCTCCCGGAAGAACATCCTGAATGGTACCAGGCTGGATTCCGTTTGTTTTGATGGCATGATGTGTAAACGCCGTATGTTACCTCAACTAAGGATGTGGGGTCAATAAATAATGCTAAGAAGAAATAAGCCCATTGTGACTTAAATGTAAATACATGAAAATTGCTCGCATTTCCTCTTAGTTCTGTTCTTAAAATATGGTTGGATTGCGTTAATACAACTCTGAAAACCTCCGATTTAGCTTAAGAACTGTGAGTAGGCTGTGCCACTAGATGGCGCTACGTTGCTGCTTTTCCACTGTGAGAGTGGGTCCACTTTCATGTGCTATGTACTGTATGGACATGACAACGTACTTCACCCACTGAGAGTCTGCGTCCTGTGATGGCTTCAGTGAATGACACCTCTCGTTTGCTGGGATATGCTTACAGGTCTACCTGTATAGCTATGATATAAGCTGTACAGCTATAATATCACAATATAATACCATCCAACTCACCAACAGCATGCTTCACAGATGTCAGATCACATCTGTAAAACACAAGATGAAACATGCATTTGTGCTTTAGTGAGGTTTATAACAAGGATTCCCAGTACCCCAGGGAATCTGAGCGATGTAGAGAGGGAGTGAGCTAGGCGTTTAATGTTTTGTCCTTTTAGATTATTTACCTTTGGAGGGGCTTTTCAACAGTTTTTACTCCGGAAGTGTTTAAAGGTTTGAAAATGTTTTGTTTTTTTTCACTCAATTTCAGAAAATGAGCTGATGTGTTTTTTAAGACCACCGCGTGAAATCCATATATTGAACCACTGAGCATTCCTCTTTCAAAATCACCCCTCTCTCCCGGCCACTCCATCCCTCCTCTCACCTCCCCCTCTGCAAGCCCTGCGTGAGGGCAGAGCTGTCCAGCACTGACAGTCAGTCCTGCTAGACTGTACACTCCCTTGTGCTCCCTGGGTCTTCAACACTTCCGTGGCTCATCAGCTGCTGCAGGGCCTTTGGCTTTTTTTCGCTCTGTGCTCCCAGAGTACCCCTGATTCTTTCTGTGAAGGCCTCTTGTCCTCTCCCCATGTGGCCGGATGAAAGACAGCGGGAGCAGGAGCTGCACCACTCCCGTGCCCGTGGTTCTGCTGTTGCTAGGGCCATGCACTTCTCCAGTTGCCAGGTAATTAGGTGTATTCTTGGCCGCCCAAGGTCCTTGCCTTTACGAGAGTGTAAATGGACGGAAAAAGCCTCTTTGGGTGATGTCAGTCTAATGAAGCGCATGTGCGTGTTTGAGCTGTCGGTCGTGTATTAACCAGTGGCAAAGAAATAGGAGCAACACTTCTATGCCGGGGTTTCTTGCAAAGCAGCCAACCCAAACCAGTAGTGAAGCAGTGGGATTGTTTATGCGGCATGTCCACCACCATCCATATACGCACACAGATCATTGTTGTGCTATAATAGATGTTCCATCACAGCCACGAGTCCTCAAGGCTGTGCTGTTAGTAATAGAATGGGAACTGGCTTCGTAGTCACAGGTAATGACATGTATGATAAGGGAATAAAGTAAGAAGGCAGCGGGGGCGCACCTCATCCTAGCCAGAGGTCTGCGCTGGTTTATAAGAGGACAGCCAGGACAGCCAGAGGGGAAGGTGTTTGCAGATAAAAGGAACAGTGATGAGCACAGGGGCAAGGAGGTCCTCACTTATTATTTTCTGTCACCTAGTATGTGAATCCCCCCACCTCCTCTCAGGGCCTGGTGTTGCCACTGGCGGGGCCTGCCTCTCTCCTCAGGGCCTGCCTGAAAGCCGCACACCAGCCTCTCCTCCTTGTCCAGCCTCTAAGCTCTCACCCTGCCGCACAAGACTTCCGGGTGCCATGGCAACATAGACCTCTCCTTTTCAGCGGGAATGATGGAGACATTGCCTTTTAAGCACTCTGTGCGGAAGAAGAGGCCGGTTACCAGGGAAACTGACCACTGTGCCTTCCTCGGGAGGGGGGAGGCCTTGTGCAAACCTCTGGCTCTCACAGGCACTGGCAAAAATAGCAGCCTGACATTTCAAGAACTCGAGGCCATGTACCCGAGCACTGTCCCCGCACGAAAACAAAGGGGTGACTGACTCCCAGCAAATTACATTTCCCAAACACCTTGAAAATGAATGTCTTGTGCAGAATATAATTCCCCAAAAGAACCTGCGTTTAGTTTTTGAGAGGAGAAAGTACAGGTAGTGTAAATTAAATCCCTGATTTAATTAGCATTGCTAAGTTTGATGTGGCCCAGCTTTGCAGGCGTGGGTGAAATCTGATGCAGTTTCATGGATATGCAGGGACAAAGGGAGAGATTCAAGGATACCTTTTTAACAGGAAGAATAGATTTTGTTTTGGCTTTTCAATTCTCAGTAAATTATGTAACATTCCGAATTAATAACATGCTTTTTTTGTGCAGGTCTATACAATGCACCCTGGGACCAGCCCCTGTCCTTTCTGTGCTGGGAGGTTAACGTGGCTCAGCTTGGGTCTGCGCTGTGAGGTGCAGCCGGCACACACCTACCACACCTGCCACTGAGCCAGGACCTTCTGCGGTGTCTGTTAATCACAGAGCAAACAGCATTCCAGCACAGCCCATACAGAGGCTGGTTACAGCCCGCAACTCTCTGGGCTCCTGATCCCAAAAGTCTACAAGGGTGCAGTTCCCACTGGGGCTTGTCTTTCTTCAAAGCTGGAGATGTAGCGCACAGTAGGAAGTGAAGGTTGTTTTGTCCTTTTTCTTTTAGAGGAAAACTTTTAAGCACACGGGCCATTTGTATGAGTTAGCATAAACCCCTAAGGACTGGCCAGACCTGCTTTTCCAGCCCTGCGAGTTGGAGGGAGAAACGGTATGTGGGATATTTCGGCGTCTGTTAGAGGCAACTGCTGTCTTCAGAGAATTTAGTCTTCTAGGTGATTCGGCAGATGGGACGTTGCAGAGGACCTTGTGGCTTCTTTGGTACAGACCTGGAATTCAGCAAAACAGCACTTGCACAGGAAAGTGCAGAGAAAGGTGGGATTGTTTGATGTTGGCTGTGAACGGCTGTCCTCTCTGTGTTGCTCCTGCTCTCCCTTTTGTAATCAGAGGTTGCTGTAGCTGAAGAGACAGCGACAGAGAGATACACCGCTATTCCAACAGTTTGGCAGTGTTCTGTAAATGTGTGCTGCTCACTTTGAGACCTGTTGCAACAGGAGCAGTGATGGTTCATTCTAGGATTGTTCTGGTGAGGACTTGAAAGTTTTGAGTTACTCCTGCATCCTACTAGCTCTCATGTAGTAACTATAGATGTTAGGAATAAATATGATAATAAAATATGTTAGAAAATGTGTTAAATATGTTAGGAACTTTAATTACTACACCTGAGAAAATAAAGATATCATTTGACACATCTCCGACGATAATTATTGTACTATTCGGCTTAAGCACAGTATCATGCTTAACATCTGTGAAAGTCTGATGTACCTGTCTGGACTTCATAAGTGTCTAGATTTGCTCATATTTCTTGTCAGCTTGCGGAAGAAAATTAAACAAGAATAGAATGTGTACTGAGGGAGGATTGTGTGCGTGGTGCTATGTCAATAGAATGACAAATTGACAGTCTGAAATCCTTTGAAACGGAACAGAGGCAGTTTTACAGTAACAACGTAACTTCAGGAATTATTGATGGCGGTTCTGTTATTTCTCGAACAAAGCCACTGTGGATCAGTCTAAAGAGAGACCTTGGCTTATTGTATCTGTCAGGGCTAAAGCGCTGTCAGAAAATGCCATGGGAATGGAATAAAGAGAAACTGGAAGGAGAATGGAAGGGAGGGACTGGATCCTGTGCCTTTCAGGCAGTCTCTCCTTCTGTGGCGAGAGATGAGCGTTGTGAGTAGGCAGGACCGCTTCAGTCGAGAATGGCAATCGGTGTCAGCGCACACAAAACTACACAACACCCCCACTCCCTGCCCGCCAATCAAGATATCTTCCCACACGACACTGGCACAAAGACTCTGGTAAATGTCGTGAAGCGTCTGAGAGGTGTTTGAATGCATAATGCGCTCGCCCTGCGTTTGTTCTCAGCAAGCCCTCATCTGGGGAGCGTGCTGCGGCAACGGGGAAGAGCACAGTTGCTCCTCTTTGATGTTTCCAGCAGCCTCTGAAAATTCCCCTTCAGGGGGCGAGCGCTCACTGAAGACACCCGCTCCAGTGCTGGGTCCAAGACGTCTTCTCTCCCGAAGACATTCGCTCACAGTCTTGTGTACCTTGTTGAAGAGCCTGGTTGGTTCATGAGACCTCTGAGCAGTACATCGACAGTTTTCTTTGACTCTCATCCTCAGTCTTCCCATCCATTCACTTTCATCTGCTACAGAAAGATTGCTCCTTACCTCAGAAGATACAGAGTCTGAGCCGGTGACCTTATTGCTGAGTTGCCTGTCCTGTAAAGAACCTCTTTATCGAGGAGTCTGTCTTCCTGTCAGATTTGGGTGTTCTGCCTGACCGCTATCATGTCAGACTGAAAGATTTGATGTGGTGCTGGGTGGAGAAATATGACATCTGATTTCATTTTCTGCCTTGCAGGCTCTTTAGGCTTTGCGGCAGACAGGGCTATTCAAGTTGCTATGTAGATGTACAATGGATGCACTTCAATGTGCAAAAATGAGCCCAGTGTTTGTGCCTCCCATTTGACCAAGTACTCTGTTTGAACAATGAAACATGGGCTAGAGGGAACGAGTGAAAACTATGTGGAAGTGAATTTATGATTGAAAACAGGAGGCACATCTTTATCCAAAGGATTGTGAGATGAACAAGCTGCCCATGTTGTTTCCTTCAAGAAACCAGAGAGACCCTTGAATCAGTGACCTCCCATACAGGCTTTATGGGCTGAATGGCCTCTCGAGAGCATTTCTCTCCTCGCCTGTTCTGAAGTGCTGTTCTGTGTGTCTGTTTGTCTGTAGTCACACCTGAGGCCATTGGTTTCCTGTCTGCGGTGGGCGTCTTCATCGTGGTGCTGGCTGTGCTCTTCCTCTTCATCAGTAAGAAGCTCTGTTTCCAGAGGATCGGCGGCCTGCCCTGCCTGGAACACCGCAGGAAAAAGAAACGCTCCCGAGAGAAAGCAGGGATTCACGAGGGTCTGGGTAAGAGGCCGTCGGGTCTGCTAGGGGTCTGTGTGTGTCATTGTCAGGCTGACTGGCAGACTGTCTCCCTCACTGTGTTCTGGTCTGCTTCCTGTGAAAATCACTGCAAAGTCACTGAACTGCAGACTGAAGCCTGTTAGTAGAAATATGTCTTTTTAAATTGTTTTCTTCATTCTCGAATTACCTCTCACTCCAGTCATGTTTGCTGTGACTTTGAAGAACACATAGAACAAAAAATAAATCTCAGATCTCCTCGTACTGCTTTTGGGCTACATACAAGAATGGGAGTTTCAGAATAATTTAATTTTCTCTCTATTCAGAGGACAGTATTTCCGCTTCTACTGTTTTAACAGCTCAGAGACGCACACTTTGGAGGATACTGTGCCTCAGTGGATATTGTGGTATATTTTGGAACCTCGCTCCTGTATCAGTGTAATAATCAATAATAATAATAATAATCAATCTTCTCTCCCTCTCTGAGCAAGAGCACCTCCCTGACCGATAGCTGTTATTATTGCCAGGCCATTGAAAATAAGGTTGATTATTTGTTAAAACAATTTTATTTTTCCAAGGAGTTTTTAAGAGTTCTCAGGAGTGTGGTTCAATTTTTTCTTGTGTTGCTACAAATGTACACCTGTCCCGATGAGGTGAATTATCAAAGACAAGTGAGCCCTTGTTAGAGTCTGAAAATGATTGCCACGCTGACCAGAGTTTCATTCTGTGTGAGGGAATCCCCTGGCCTTGTTGACTGCATCCTACAGTCAAAGAGTCAACCAGTTGGTTCCTTTTTGGCATGACTAAAAATGACTGGGACCTTGCCCTTGGTCTCCTGTGAGGAAGACAACTGCAGTATTTTACTGGGGCTCAATTCTTCTGTTAACTGCATTGTATAATGCTTCACAATCACAGAGCACCCTCTTCTGGGCTTGCAAATGTGGTCGCTGCTATCCACCAGTGTATTAAGCGACTATAGTCCCCTAGATAGCGTAATAGGGTTGTTGGTCTTGATTGCATAGTTGGGGGTTATGTTCATTACTAACTGCAGCTGTGACATTCCCATCCTCCCCCCTGACAAGCCTGTGAACACTGTCGTCTGATGCTCTTCATCAGTGCGTGCCTTCCCACAATGCATCTGCTCACTTCCTGACAGTACAGAACTGAACAACAGTTGCCGCGTGGTGAAAGGAGGCATTGTGGTTGGCGTTGCGGCCTCACAGCTTTTGGATTCGGGGTTTTTGTGTGGAATTGGCATGTTTGACTCTGCATAGGCTTTCTCCCACCTTCCAAAAACATGTTGACGAGGTTAATTGATGTCTTTACATTTTTCCTCTGTGCTCGTGTGTGTGTGTGTCTCCTGTGCCGCACTGGTGTCTTGTTCAGGGTGCAGCCCTGCCTGGTGTCCTCGTCTCCAGGAGATTGTGATCTTAGCCAGTCCTGGAGTCCTGCAGATGAGAGCGGTGCTCTGCTGCAACCAACTTTCTGGTCTTGTGTTTGTCTAACAGACAATAGAGAATTTAGCTTCTGAAGAAGGAAGGTGGAGCAATCAAATAGGATAAAGTGAGGTATTACCAACCAGGTGACTAGATCAACCTGTTGTACCATCTGTTTAAATAGCAAGGCTTGTGAACATTATTATCATATACAAGCTTATATGAGATCAAAGAGCCACACTCAACACAATTATCCATTAAGGTTAGGCTGAGGAATTATTTCACATGCCAGTCACGCTCACACAATATTAGTAAAGAAGTGAATGAGGCACATCTTCATTGGCCATTACATGATCACATTTTTTTTCTAAGTAAATAGTCGCACCTGCACAGTACATGTGTGTTGACTTTAGTTTTCCAACAGTTCTTGAATTTAGAGGCATTGTCAGTCATTTTTCCAAGAGATCTTGCCTTGAAAATGAAATAATAATCACGGGAGGCAGCCAGTCCACTGTCTCTTTTGCTGTGTTTGGACTATGGTTTAAACGGTAAGATTGAATGAATATAAGAACTGTGCAAACGCTTGACAGTGTGAGGTAATGGTGCCAATATCTGCTGTGCCCGGCCAGGCGACAGATAAGAGATTACAAAAGAGAGGAGGCTCTCGAACAATGTTGAAATACAGTCATACAAGAGCATTATGCAGATGTAACATTGCTTCCCTTTATTTGAATTCGGCACATTTTTCTTCACAATACGCCTCTGAGTCACTGCCCTGCTTGCTCTCCTGTTCCTGTGCCGCCCACCACAGGCCAGCAGTGATGTCACATGGCCAGGAGCTCAGTGCACAACGCGCTGGGTGAGAGCAAACTCCCTCTCTGAGGAACAGAGCGGTGAACCTGCAAAGGGCTTTCAGCGCAGTTTAAACCCAATTAAGGCTGCGATAATGGGCACTTCCCACCCGCTGAGTGTGGGTGAGTCCGAGTGTGTTTGTGTTACCTGGCGATGTGGAGGAGTGCAGTGCGCAGCAGGGCTTGGGTCAGGAGATTGTTTAATGAGCGCTGCGAGAGAAGTGGGAGCAGGGCAGCCTGGGAAATGGAAGCACTCTCGGGCAATTCTGCCGGCTGCCAGCTGTTAGCCGCACAGGCCAAAACTCCACATGGGGCGCCGTGGAGCAGAGTTTTCAGAACTGAGACACATGCTATTAATTTAGAACAGAAGACAGGAAGAAAGGTTCTAAACAAGAGGCAGCCCTTTGTCCCAATCATAACTTATTTGGTTACTAGTAGCTGAGTGATATATAAAGCCAAGTGCATACCTGAATGAATTTGTTGGATTATTCCCAAACCTCTCATTTATCAATGCTAGATTCCATGATCATTTCACTTGTATGGTATAGAGTAGAATTATATAGTAGTAATGATTGAAGCTTCTTTAAAAGGGTTAGAATGGGGCTGTAGTTCAAAGATTGCTTTACCCATCCACTCCTGTGTTGCATGTTTGGAAGTAATGTAGATGTTGCAGCCTGCAGTGACTCTATTCTCAGTGCACGTCCCGTGTCTCAGTCTGAGCCTGCTGGCGTTCAGTCACCTGGCTCAGTAACCAGTGCCTCTCCTCCTACTTACACTGTAGTCAAGGACTGCATTACTCCCCCAGGATTCTCATCTCTACACAAACAGGCTCTTAAGACCTTATCCTCTTCTCTTTCAAACATTTCAAGCAAACCTAGCATGGCATGAATGCATTGTACGCCCCTGGTACAAGTATGTGCAGATGCTTTTATTGATCTATAGTGCCTATGAACTATTTGTTCCAATGTAAGTGGAAGTGAACAGGTTTGCGATAACTGAATAACTTCGCGTTGTGGTCTCTATGCATAGTGTTATGTAAGTGTCCTTGAAGATGTCTTGGCCTGTTTATTTCTGATTGATTGTGTAGGCAGCTGAGAGAGGGGTGAAGGATGAGTGTGGGCCATTTAGATTCTGGGGGTGTGGCACATCGGAAGGGGTGCAAGGCCAGTGCCAGGCCATGCACACAGAGGTACAGTATCCAGATGCCCTTTATTTCACCTGGCATGAAGACAAATTATTAAAATTTAAGGAGTGCGTTTCCCCTTCTTCTTTTCTCTGCAGTTTGAATCTCATCCTCCTTCAAGTGTTACCACCTTAGGGTCAAGGAAAGGGGTTCAGTTTAGTGAGCAAGAAAATCTGGTCATTGGTGGCTCATAGGATGCTCTAGTTAAGTGAACTGGGCCTCACAGTATCTTCGGCAAACTTCATTCGGCAGAGTCCCAGTCTCATAAACACATGGGACCCCAGAGGATGAGTCTTTACTCTAGTGCCCTTTCAGAGATACAGCGGGCATGACTGCTGGAAAGGGAGACAATATCATTGCCATGCTAGCTGACCCTTTTCTGACGGAGGCAGACAATAACAGGACAGGAAGCTTTTATTCAGAAAGGATCATTTTCTGAAAAGCTGTCAAACTCGGTTGTTCTGCCGCATTAGAGCTCTTCCTTTGAGGATCACTGGATATTTTCTTTGAAACATAAGCTTTATTAGCACTCGGCTGGCATTTTGATGGCTACAGAGGTGTGTATTAATGCACTCGAGGGGCTCCGAAGCCGTGACTCTGTTATATGTTTCGGCTTATTACAGTTTCCCTCTCAAAGGATGCACAGAGACTGCAATCATGTATTAGTAATTTGAAAAAGCCCTGCTGTGCTGAGTTTTGGGAAGGAGGATTACAGTGCAAAAGCTTTGCTTTTTGTGCCTCCAGTCTGCAGAATTGCAGTACAGTATATGGTTTACATTCCCTTCTCTAGGCCATTATTGGTTGATCATCATTGTTTATCCACCAGATAAATAGATAGACTTTCCCTTCATGCTCATCTGTGGGACATTTCAAAGCAGGTGATTGATTTCTGCGATGTGTTGAGATCAAAATGTCATAGAGTTCCTTTCACTTATACCCAGGCTCATTTCATGAGTCACAGTACACGGGTGCCAACAGTTCAGTGTCTGGAGGATCTAGTAAGAACTCATTGATTACCAGCACTGTTCCAGTTTAACAGTTTTTAAAGAAGATTGTATTGTGTTCCCTGCATATAAGTGCCACATTTCTCTCTTTCACATGAAGCGTACACCACCTTTTATCACATCTAAGGATTTTAAAGAGCTTTGTCTTGAAAAAAACATCTCTGAATGGACTTTTGGCTCTCAAACAGAGAAGCTTGTTTTTCTTAGTATAGGAGATCTGAATTTGCATGATATTCCTGTCTATGCAGGGCTCATTTGGTCTCAAGTGAACCTGCTTCCTCTTTGCCTCAGCTGCAGGACAGGTTCATTTGCACATGGGTAGGCCTGTTTTTATGGTTCTCCACTTCTCCTCGCAGAAGTGGTGCAGCAGTAGGAATGGTGTGTTGACCAGCGCCCCCTGTGTGTTGGAGCGTGCATGTTCACCGGGTGCCGGACAGAGCTGCCTAGTGATGACCTCTTCGCAGGAGACAGAGAGTGGCCTGCCCGCCTTCACTGCCTGGGTATCGCGCGTCTCTGATGCCCTATCTGCCACCTTCCTGAACCTCGGCAGACCAGGGTCACAGGGCACAGAAACCGGGCCAAGGTCCAGTCAGAGTCAGACCGGCACTGACAAGGATGTCTTGGGGCACACCGACCCCTTAGAACAGGAGCAGGAGGCACTGACAGACAGCAGTGACTCTTCAGACAGCCCAGTCTTCCCACAGACGATCTCTGAGCAGCAGCTGGAGAGCCAAGAGACGCAAGCCTGTCACCAGGAAGGCACAAAGGTGGACACCCGAGCTGCTGGTACAGCCCCAGCAGTTTTACCCACTGATGCCCAGAGGCCGGCTGAGGTCGGTTCTGGGCTGAGCTGCCCAGGTCTGATGGAGGAACAGATCCAGGAGCATCTCTACATCATCCCGGAAGAGGGCGAAGACCCGGAGAACCAGACCAGTGGGCAGGAGGAGGACTCTCTCGGGCAGAGCCTGTTTGCTCCACACACTGCTGGTAAGAACACAGCCAGGCCAGCATGCATCTCCACAACAGCACGGCTGTTGGTTTGCAAAAGTGACCTGGATCATGCTATTTCACATAATATCAAAAAGGATGAACAAAAATAATTTACTCTCCCATATGAGACCTAGATTGATTTTCTTCTGGCATTTAAAATGTATTGAAGAGAAAACTCCTCCACATTTGTCAGGCTTCACAGTCCTTGAGTGATTTTCTGCCACCTCTATGTTAGGTCTCAAATGTTAAACTGGAATAGGTAACCTTTCCCATGTTTGCATGCTGCAAGTTTCCAACAGGGTTCAGGTCAGTGCCAGTGTGTGATGGAAGTGCTGTTTGCTGAGTAATCTCTTGGTCCACACAATGGCGGTACTGAAGTTTCAATATTGACAGGAGATAATAGTGCTGCTGTAAAGGACAAAGCTACCAGGCTTTAGTAAAAAGGAGAATGATTGTTTATCTTTTCCCCATGGGTGTGTGTTAAACTGCAAACAGAATTGCAAAAAGGGTTCTTATGCATATAAAGGTGTGCTTTTTCCTGAGTTCTCTTCCCTACAAGGAAAATAAAATGCATTTCAGGACCATCCTGTGAAAATGGTATCAATGTAGTAAAAATACTGATGTGAATTTATTCTGACAATAGGAAATATAACAATTGGTTTAATGGAGTCAATAATTCACTTTCATTTTTGTTTTGACAATATTATAGCAGTTATGTATAGTTTTAGATTCATTAGGACACTTTTTTTTAGGAAACTTTTAAATTACATTTTAAAATACTGTATTTTCTTTCCACTGTAATTAGGACTTTGCTTGAGAACAGAAAATGAAGTACCTTATGATATCAAAACTGAAAAAGTCTTTGAATGTCAAATTGCTTATTTCTATGAAAAGTTATGAAACATTCAACCTTTTTTTAAGTTTTGTTTGTTCACAGATTAAAGTTCAATAGCCAGGCGTGTGTGGTGGTCAGTGTGGGACAGTCAGTAACCAGGTGTGTGTGGTGGTCAGTGTAGTTAGCCAGTAGGTGTGTTGTATGGTGAGAGAACTGTGTTTGCTCTTCCACCAGGTGGATAGAGAGGGAGTGTGGGTATTTTTAGAAAGCAGGTGAAAGACGTCATGTTTATCGACATGATTATAGTCCTCTGTTTACCTTGGAGGGAGCCAGCAAGCAGCCGATATGCCTGAAGGATTATTAACTGTTGAAACACAATGATTACAGAGATTTAAGCAATGAAAGCCAAGGTACATCTTCTGAAACTGGACATTGTGAATATATGTTTATTTTTATTATATTGATGACAAAGCTATCACCTGCTCTGACCTCCTTAGAAGAACTGTGGGGGGATTGTTGAAAATGGTGATTTCAGTGAGAGGGACCTGCATTGTTTGCAAAATGATTTTTGTTTGAACATCATTGTTTGCTTTGCATTAGGAGATTCTTTTTTGCTCTGTAACAAGTGGTTACTTTCGGTCATCTCCAGTATGGTCGGGGCGTATACTCATACAGGCAGGATGCTTCATTACTCACCACCTCCATGTGTATTATTACAATTAGACAGCAGTCTGTTGTGTTTGAATCAGCAGCTAGTTCCCACTATACCCATGCCAGTCTCTTTCTGAACAGCCATGTATTTAATAGACATTGAAAGCTATAGTCCCATTTCACTCTCTACATCTGGTTTTAATACTTGTAGCAATACCCTGCAATCAATCTACAATTACAATCGTCATGGAAACACTTAAACCCTGCTGCACTGGAAAAAATATCTAATGAAATATCATTTTCTTTTAGGACAGAATTCATATGGCTTGTAATGATGGATATTATCTGTTTTTCTTTAGACCAAAATGATTAATTATGTGAGTGACAGCTCTGTATGCATGTGTAGCATAAGCTTCTTTATTAGAAGATCTTATTAAAAGGTCCCAAGAATGGTTACAAATAGCTTTTGATGTTTTTCTTAAGTTATTTCTGTAGCCTTGTTGCGTGTTGTTTTTATAAAGTACGGAATACTAGTTAAAAACAAGCACACTTCAGTTCTGGCAACCTGGAACTTACAGTCATTATGTATATAAATGGAACATGATCATTGACTGCAAAGTTAAATGTTATAACTTTGGAAAAAGACTTCAGGCTCAATGTTTGTATTCTTCTCCTGTGGAAACCCCTCTTCATGGGGCAGCTTGGTGTGAAATCCAATTTATTTTAAAGAAACAGGGAAAATGCATTGAATTTACTAAATAACTATTCTTATAAATGCTTCATAGTATATCTTTAATAACGTTAGTAACATTTTATTTCTGAAAGAAATCCTTTATTACTGTATATGTAAGTTGTGTGTGCCTTTCCTTTAACTTTAATTCAAAGAAAGAGGTTATCGTTTCTTGTGTAAACCTTTGATGCTAGTTTCACCTCCTTGCACCTGAACCACACAGTCTCTGTAGATCTCAGAAGCTGAGCAAGACCGGGCTTGGTCAGTACTGGATTAGGGGATCTGTAACTTGAGCAGTAGGTGGCAATTTTCCCTCTGGACCACAGTTTAAAACCTAATACCCCAGTATGGTGGGTTGTCTTGCAGATGAGATGTTAAACTGGAGCTCTGCCTCCTTGTTCAGTAAAAAGCCCATGGCACTGTTCCTAACAGTAGGGTTGTTAACCCCGTTGTCCTGGCTAATCTCCTCTTTGGACTTCAACAATCTCTGCTCCCTAAGGTTCCCACTTAATTCAGCTGGAGTAATTTCTCACTGCGCAGAATGGCAGGTGGGTGCTGCATTGTACTGATGGTCTTTTTGGGATCCCTTGGGAAGAAAAATGTTTTACCTGTCTGGAACTGGAAGATGCCCGAGGATGATGTTTGTTGGATGGGAATAAAATCACATCAAACATGACTGGAAAGTGAAGGTATAGGCATTCTTTCCCTGACAGGGCTCTCTCACTCTGCGTCTCCACCCATCTGCCTGTCTGCAGACGGCCCCTGTTCTTCACCTTAGCTTGCTTCCATCTGGTGCTCGTTCTGCTCCTTCAACAACCTTTGGGACAGTGTACCAGTTTGAAACTGGGTTAAGCAGTCCCTTCATCCTTCTACTCCTTTTTTCTGTTGTTGTAAATGCAGGGGCTCATGAACGTCTGTTCTTTTTCGGCCTTCTTTGCACTCTGTTTTGGGTACTTCATCCTCCCTTCTGGGCCAGCAGTGTTGTCCTCTCGGCTCCCCTCTCTCTCTCTCTCCTCCTTTCTCTCCCCAGTGAACAGCTACGGGGAGGACGGAGCTCTGTCCACGTCGTCCGACAGCGAGGACGAGATCGCTAAGCACTTTGAGATCTCGGTGTCGCGCTCGCAGAGCTTCCGCTCGGGCACGCAGGCCGGCTCCGAGCGGCCCCACGGATTCACCCGGCTGCTTTCCAATCCAGAGGAGGGCAGCACGGAGCCCTCTGACTGCGAAGGTACCTGACGTGGCCTCCTGTAGCACTTGGCCTGTGTCCAGGCAGTTGGCTGTGTGTCACTCTTCATCGAAAGCAACATGAATTCTGCTGCAGGGGGGTACTGTATATATGCAGTAGCATAGCTGCTGGGGCTCTGGAAGGCTGTGGGTTCAAACCCAGGTGGAGCCTTGTTGTTGTACCCCTGAGCACGGCACTTTACTCAGATTGTGCCAGTAAATTGCCTAGCTGTGTGAAGGAGTTCAAATGAAAGTTGTTTTGCATAAAACATCAGATAAATAACCCTGTCAACCAGGCTATGTAGCAGAGGTGCTTTGAAAGGACTGAGCTTTTTGGTTTATCCTTGCAGCATGCAAATGTGTACCATTCCAGTTTTTTTTACTCCAATATTTCTATGTATTCCATAAAAGCTCTGTTTCATTCTCTTTCTCTCCACATCCTCTGCCACAATACTTTTGTGTTCATTCTCATGCACTTGAGCCCCGTGTAAAACATACACTTGACAGAACCACGGTAGTGATGGGCTTGTAGTGTAAATGGCCATTATCATGAGCCTCAGTATGTCCAGCCTCAATGGGATGCTCTCTGGGTCCCAGTGGTTTGAATTAGTCCTGTTCCATTCTTATTCAGATGAAGCCAGATTGATTACTAATGTGTTAACTATAAGTTCATGAGCACCATAGGTGGAAGATGTGTCTGTTCTGTTTGAATTGTTTTGGTTGTTAAAGATGAACTTTATGATTGGAACCAGAATGGAAAACATGGGAGATATTATGTAAACCAATAGACTGGTGTAATAATAGCAGCGAAATGAGTCACTATTCCCCGTTGCCATGGTATAGCATGATTATTGCAATGAATGTAGTAGGTTTATGCATATATATATGTGGGTTTGGCAACAGAGGTCAAGAGTTTTTTCCATTAAAAATGAATATGAAATGAAAGTAAATGTGCTTTAGACAAATTACATTAGGTATTGTTCGTTCACAGAAGTATTATTCCTAAATATTAATTAAAATCCTTTTTTAATTTGAAAGACTCACTAAACCGCCTGATGTTTGACATCTGTTCAGGTCATTCCCCATGGCTCTATAATGGAGCAGAATTCTAATTCTAAAGTATAGTGTCGATTTGTAAGCAGTTTTAGAAATGAATGAACGCAATAAACCTCTTTGCCTATTTTCCAGAGATGAAAATAAAGCCGCCAAGAAGAAAGTTCTTGTATGAAATGTGAATTTGAAGAACACAATGTAAACGCAGGCCAGTTTGAGTTGAGTGTGCGCGGTCGCTGCGCGGTTTCAGGGGGGGGGATGTCTGACGCTGTAACTCTGCTGGCAGATGGCGACGGGCTCAGCCGGCTGAGTTACCAGGATGCCCAGTCGTACCCGGACGACGAGCGGGGCTCTCTGGGCTCCCGGGGCACTGCGGAGGGCCTGGGGGCGGGCCTACGGAAGTGCTCAGAGGGCACGGAGGCCAGCCTGGCCCCCAGCCTCAGCAGACAGGCCACCGAGGGCAGCCTGGAGATGGAGACGGCGGTCGACAACCAGGGCTACGACAACAACGATGCAACGGACACCTCCTCCACCTGGAGCCCTGAGGTAGGGCCATGGGCGAGGGGCAGGGGTGGCACGAGCGCAGGTCCTCAGATTGACATTGCTATGAAACAGCGAGGCACCTGGAGCAGGGCGGTGGTGTTGAGCACTTTTTAAGGAACCTGGGCACAGATCACTGGGTGAAGTGCAGTTCATTTTTCTGAGCAACAGGGTTGCTATGAGCAGATAAATCTGGCCAGCTGTGGTCCATGTTACCGGTGCAGCTGGCAGCAATTAACCCTCATTATCCAATTTCCATTCCACACCCCTTTCTTCACTATTTAAACCCTCCGTTCACTCCGAATCATTGCTTGGTATTGGGAATCTATCCACCTCCTGAGCTCGCATGGTCCTCTACCTCTGACCACCAGCACCAAGACCCATCTAGCCTTGGACCTCACGACTACCCTCTCGTCTCGCCCCTTTTCGGATTTGTTTGTTCCGCTGATCTCTGAACCCGTATTCGACCTCGCGGGGAACTACTGACCACTCTGCTGCCTCGCTCCTCTCGGACTCGTAAGCCATCGGACTCTCTTAGAGACCTGCACAGGGTTCATAACAACTCGCCCGTAACAGTCCAGGAGTTTGTTCACGGAGAGCTGCTCCCTGGATGAATGTTGGGTGTTTTGGGGGGTCATGTCAGGGAGACACCCCGCAGTTACTGCTATGTTCTGAGGATTGGCAATACATTGGCTCAGGATGGCATGAGAATCAGGTTTCAGTTCAGGGCCCCAGAAACTGGAGAACACAGTCTGAGATGTATTCATATACTACATATACCGAATCTTGCATATTGTGTTGCGTATATGCTACAAAAATAATTTCAGTGTAATCAGTGTATCCTCAGCTAGATGTCTAAATCCCACACACCTTACATTTTTGAAGCGCTGAAGCTAATTTATTGCCACTCGCTAATTACCGCAGTTTGGCTCTTAATGTGTTGTTGCTCATGGATTCAGATTTATTGGAGTCATTACCATTCCAGCATGCCCAGGGGGAGTGAAAGTCAATGATACAGACTGTACAACAAATGCTTCCCTATTAGAGATTATTGCAGGGAAGGAAGTGCTGGCCCTGGAGCAGGGCCAGCAGTACAGAAACTTGAGGAAGTGAGCTTGCTACCTGTAACAGGTAGGCTGTTGAAAGTGAACGATGAAGCTCTGGAGCAAAGCTCTGGATCATGCACTTTGGAGTTTACAGTGAGTGATGGTGCGTGTAGTGGAAGTCATGGCGTAGAGTGACATTTGTCGTGTTGTGTGTGCGTGTGGGTGGACTGTGCTCTCTTGGCTTCAGTGCTTATCTAATCTGCTCTGCCGCTGTGTATCTGCCAGCACCAGCAAACACTCTCTGTCAGCTCTCTGCACCTAAAATGACATTCAAGGCTGCCGTTAGAGAAAGAACTCCTGCTTTTCAATCTTGTCCCTTTTTTTTTTTGTCGCTGCCCTCTCCTTTTAGGATAGTTCTTCTGAGAGCCCAGGAAACCATAAACTTGAAGGAATTATTTGGAAGTGTCAAAGCTGAAACATTGCTTTGACAATTCATGTGCCTCAGGCTCTAAAATAAAGAGGAGGACGCTCTTACTCTTTGACCTGCACAGGCCCACTTGTTAAAAGAAAAAGATCTCAAGCAATTTAATTCTATTATGCACCAGGCAGTGCAGCACTCCTTCCTTAAGAGAGACTCATTCATTTCTCCAAGTCTTAGAATCCTAGAAGAGTCAATTTTGGGGCAGGATTGTTTTCTGCCTTGTGTGAATTAAGTAGCAGGCGATGGTCTCCATTCGTGATGGTGGCACTGCCTGTTCTGCCCATGCATGTGCCTCTCTCCCTCAGGAGCAGGGAGCAGGGGAAGTCTCCTCTCAGCTGGCGGACACTCACCAGCCCATCTCCAGATGCGGTGACCTCATCATCATCCTGGACTACAAGGTCGAGGCGCAGAAACTCCTGGTGACGGTGGTGAGAGCCAGGGACATCCCGGATAAGGAGCGCAGCGGGATGGACGCCTGGCAGGTGCATGTGGTGCTCCTGCCCAGCAAGAAGCAGAGGCACAAGACCAGCGTGCAGCGGGGCTCCACGCCGCGCTTCAACGAGACCTTCCGCTTCTCCAGGATCGACGCCACCGAGCTGGGCGGCTACGCCCTGCGCTTCCGCCTGTACGCGGTAGGCAAGATCGCCAGGGAGCGCATGATGGGGGAGCATCTGTACCACCTGAGCAGCCTGAGCCTGGAGGGCGAGATGGAGGCCACGCTGGTGCTGGAGCCTCGCAGCAACATGAAGGTGAGACAGCGGCACACGGGCACGGCTGGGCCTCTCATGTCCCTGCACTGTCAGGGTGGTTGGCTGACAACCTGAATCCGAGCTGAGAGGAACCCGGTGAGTGGAAATCCGACACTCTTGAGCTCCCTTGGCACAAAACTCTGGATTTCCATGATGTATACTGAATGTGTAAAGTGACTGGTAAAGTGTACATCTGTTGGCCTTCTTGTCTTGCTGAGAGGTGGAAGAGGTGAAACTGCCATGCGGTCTGTATTCATCCCCACAGGCTGTGTGGTGTCCTGTTGTGTGTCTTACTGGAGAGAGGGGCTGAGCCGTGTCACACAGCACCTTCAATCTGACACTGTCTTTCCTCAGAGTGCGGACTCCCAGGTCAGCTTGTCTGCCATCTCGCACAGCGACAGCGCCTCGTCCACGCAGTCCCTGTCGCATGGCGGCGTCCCCGAGCTGCTCATTGGCCTCTCCTACAATGCAACCACCGGCCGCCTCTCGGTGGAGATGATCAAGGGCAGCCACTTCCGCAACCTGGCTGTGAACCGCCCCCCAGGTGAGGAGACCGCTCAGTCAGAAAACAGGGCTGACTCTGCACACGGCCCAGTCAGCGGGTTCTGGGAGTGCACAAGACCGCCGTGGAAGATAACTGCGTTCACTTAAAGGGATATCCCAGTGAAAGCACTGCACACACCGGCTGCGCTGTAGGCCTAGAGTTCAGGTGCAGGGCTTTGTCTAGAGATACGTTGATAGTATTTGACAGATGGAGAGTGTATGCATTTATGTGCGCCACACAAAATCAGAGGCAGGACTGACACTGCAGGGTCAAGTGACAGAAATGACCTGTGTGGAATGTAGAAACATGTTGGAAGTTGCAGAAGTAAGATGTGGCAAATGATGGCAATTAGGGAAATGTAGCTTTCATGGTAATTCTGGTTTCCTGTTTGCCTTAATTTCAACCTTCTGATTTCACTGCTTCTCAGGGTGGCTAAAAGAGCACAGAACAGGAAGCAGAGCTGCACTTCAGGGTTGGGACCCAGTTATAAATAGCTGCCGAGTATTGAATCGCAATCGCTGGTCACTTTTTGTGATCGTAATTGACAGAACTGACCTGTTTCCCAGTCTGGGGCACTGTAGCCTTAAGGGGCTCTGACTACCCCTGCTGTTCTGTTTCTGTGCCACCTCGGTCGCTTTTAATTCTTCCCTTCACACTCTCCTTTGTTTACTAATGGTGTTCTCACCCCACGCAGGGCGCAGAACGCTTTTCTCTCTGAGGCTCAGGGTTTCAAATTCATTCTCATCACGCTGCCTAATCACTCTCACTGCTGTGAAAATACAGGGTTTATAAATAGAACATCAACACTAATGAAAAAAAAAAGCCTTTGAAAAAGACAGATTCTGCTTCGCTGTATTGAAGGAAGGTAACAAGTTTATCTAATGAGAGCATTTACCAGAAGCACTATGGCCCACGGCAGCATCATATGTGCTGCAAATTGGATTGGTTCTCTTTTGTTTGAAAGGTGCCAGCCTGGGCTTTAAGTACTCTGTGTGCTTCTTCTAGACAATTAATAATGAGTGGTGTCACAGTTACTGGACAGCTATGTCACTGTCCAGTCGGTTCTGTGAAAGTTCTTCCTAAAATTATTTTTTTTTTTTAAACTAAAAATTTGAGTAGAACATTCAATTAGACAGGGAAATCAGAAGTTTTGAAACTTCAGGGATCAAAAGCTTTCGGTCATCAGCCCGCACACGGTGACCGGGCGATGTGCTGCTTCTTGGCGAGAGCCCAGCAGTGGGTGTGTTCCCTAAAACGGCGCTCCTCCTTCTCGCCCAGATACCTACGGCAAGCTGACGCTGCTGAACTCCGTGGGCCAGGAGATGTCCCGCTGCAAGACCTCCATCCGGAGGGGGCAGCCCAACCCTGTGTACAAGGAGACCTTCATCTTCCAGGTGGCCCTCTTCCAGCTGTCCGACGTCACCCTCATGGTCTCCATCTACAACCGCCGCAGCATGAAGCGCAAGGAGATGATTGGCTGGGTCTGCCTGGGCCAGAACAGCAGCGGCGAGGAGGAGCAGGCCCACTGGCAGGACATGAAGGAGTGCCAGGCCCAGCAGGTCTGCCGCTGGCATGTCCTGCTGGAGTCCTAGAGGACTACCGCCCGCCCCATCCCCCCCACCACCCACCACCCTCGTACACACCTGTCGGAGACTGGCCCGCACCTGGCAGGAGCTCCTGCTGCCTGCCTGGATCTGCAGGAGGTGTTGACTTCTGTCCCGCGACCGGAGCCTACTTCCGAAGAGCAGGTGCCTGCTGGCATCGCGTCTACTGTGTGTCGGGGACCCCACTCTTTGGCCTCCTCCCCCCCACTCGGGACGGGTTTGCAGCAGGCATCTGGGGTGGATTTTTTCGGTTCCCCCTGGAACTCATCCGTTTCTCCCTGCATTCACTCCCAAAGTCCGCTCGCTCAATTCGGAGAGGAACTAACCGACTCCCCGTGCTCGTTCATTGCGGATTCAAGACTCGGTGGCAGAGCAGCTGTCTCTCGCTGTGTTGCGGAGCTGTGAGATTCTCGTGACGCACTGTGCAGTAGATCCATCTGCACCCAGCCACTCGAGTCGCATCTGCCCTGAGATGAATAGGAAGGCTGGGTTATAATAAAATACCAAAAAAAAAAAGTCCAGCTGCTTTTTAAGATTGCTCAATGTTTCGCTCTTTGACAGAAGAGCTCTGAGAGCTGTTGATTGCTGTAATATCCTTTCGGAAGATATTAATGTCAACTAGCCTTCATTCCTGAATGTGAATTGTCATGAAAGAGTGGGTCTACTACTGCTGCCTTCCTCTCTCCTGACACACCAGCTGCAGTGCCCTGTTCCTGGCTCACCATGCTGTCCGGGTACAGCTACGAGGCGTAGCGCCTTATTTACCTCCACCCGTTGTTATTTTGTTTGACAGGGCCGTGTCAGATGGCCCATTAACAGTGTTTGTCTCAAATTTAGTCCCCTAGACAGTTTGTTTTCTTTCTACAGTCCAGCAAGTCTTCTTCCTAAACCAAACAAAACCTGACTCCTTAAAAGAGTCCTAACTGCACTTTAAGGAACTTTTCCCTGGCCATAGAAGAGGCTGTCCTAATGCCAAACATCCCAACAAGAGCGACTGTTTAACTTTAATGCATGTCTTTTTTCTCTGTCTCTCTCCACTGCTCTTTCCTCCCAAAAGAGACACTCCTAATTAATTAACTTTTCTTTACCCCTGTAATCAACTGCGGGCCACCAATCTCCATTTCACCGACTCCACCTGATTCCCTACAGGAACCAAGATGGTTGTTCCCCATGGAAGCCTCAAAGCGACACTTCAACTGACTTGTCCCCTCAGGAATATAGACTCTCTCACAGATTCCTGACATTTAACAGTTTATAATCATGGCGGCAAAGCCTGGAAAGGTCTTTGCCAAGAGATGTGCGACCACTAGTTTTGCAAAGGGAGTACTTTTTCCAAGACCACAGCTGTGGCAGTGCAGGGGGCTTCACTGCAACATTAAAGCCACCCAAGGTCAATATTTAACATGGCCAAAGGACACGCACTGCTTCCCTGGCAGACCGGTGACAGACACACAATCTGCAATGTGCAGTATATCGAACACACTCCAGGGTTACAGGGCTGCTGGTTGTTTGGCCTGACTAGCACTACGGTAGACTGAGTTCATAAGCTTGAATGCATCCTAAGTTTTCTTTGGAGCATCCAGATGTGGCCACCTGTTGTGTGATGATTAAAACAACACTGTGCGCATGCCTGCCTGCTTCCTGGTCCTGACTAAGGGTGGCAATACAGTGTCTCAATGGAGAAATCAAGCTTGTCTGTCCCCCGGTGCCATTTTATTTAGGCAGTTAAGATAAAAGAACAATACAACATTATCTAGCTTGCCCGCCAACATTATCTAATGATGACTGGGAAAAGAACGTTTCAGTTCTTTCATTAACTGTACCAGGATTTGCTTTATTATTACTGTAGCATGGAGGCTGATGACATTTACGGGAAGACAAGATTAATGAAATTGCTGTGCTACACAGTGGATTTTTTTTACTGGTATTCCTGAAGTGTTCAATTTGCAAAACTCATTGTTTTTTCCCTGAAATGATAAAAATCCCACGTGGTACTTCTAGGGAAGAGGAAAAAACTAAGATCTTAATGAGAGTGACATTTCAGCATTCAAAACCTCCCTCTTTTATTCTATCTTCTCAAACTGGCACAAGGAAGCCACCGGCACTGAATCTATCTTGACTATGCATTTCATAGATGATGGTAACAAATGTCACATATGCATGGTAGAAGTTCATGTTGTTGTGTGCATATATATTTTTAAAGTAAGAATCACCTTCTGGATGCATTAAAAGAACTTTTATACAGTACGGCATGCATCTTTTGTATTACAGATTACATGTATATGAAGTGCCTGTAGCTAAGAATCTGTATGGGATTTTGGAGTGTACTTGTCATGAGAAAGCCTTGTGTTGAAATAAGCATGCATTGCTAAACAAATGTACTACTCTGTTAGCCAATGGAAGCATGGACCAGTGAATCCTGTACATGTACAGTGCCTGTACCATGCATGCAATGATTAAAGGATAATATATGTTTTGTACATATTTCATGGCCTTTCAGTAAATTGTGACCACTGCTTGTTTTTTTTTCTTTTCACTGTTGTTGTGCTCTCTCTGTCTTCAAGGCCATTAAGGCTGCATACACCCACAGTAATAACAAAAGATGTGAGCATTCGCCTTCTGTGAGGGTCAGAGACTGGGGACAGAAGAGCACAGTGCTCAGTAACAACACATAGAGATTATTGTAATTTTTCATGAACGCCTTTCTTGACTCATCATCTCAAGGAACTTTTCAGTAAAACAAGGGAAAGGCAGAAACAGTAGAGCCAGTTACTGTGACCTGAAGCTCCTCTGCCTTTCACAACATCTTGCGTTCCTGTGTTTTGAATGACTTTTTAGAATTCCTAGAAACTACAGGCTTATGAATCAGTAGAACTGAAAAGATGAATGTTGGGTGCAAAGACGTTTAGCTACATAGCTAAGTGTATCAACTATTTTCTGAATCTGCCATTGGTTCATTGACCATATGCCTTATGTAATGATTCAGACATTTGTTTTGATGTGTGATTACTAAATGGAAGTAGGGGTGGTAATGGTACTGGTGTGTTTTACTTTAATGGACTGTGAATGGTTGGATGTGTTCTAGATTAGTGGATCCAAACTCTGGGCCTGGAGGAACACCAAGTTGTCTGGTCTTGCTACAACTGCGTTCTTAATCACAAGCTAATTGATTATAGTTTTCTATCTTGGGCATATTTAGAAATTTGCTTTCAGCTCCTAGAAGGTCAAATGGAATTTAAAATTAATTGGTATCAACCTTCTGCATGTCTGTTACAGTGTCTTTCCCAGTTGTGGGGTGTCTGCTATAGTACCTTTCCCAGTTGTGGGCTATCCTCTACAGTGTCTTTCCCAGTTATGGGCTATCCTCTACAGTGTCTTTCCCAGTTGTAGGCGTGTTGGTTACAGTGTCTTTCCCAGTTGTGGGGTGTCTGCTATAGTATCTTTCCTAGTTGTGGGCTATCCTCTACAGTGTCTTTCCCAGTTGTAGGCGTGTCTTTCTCCGTTGTGTGTGTTGGTTATAGTAACTTTCCTGGTTGTGGGCTATTGCTTACAGTGCCTTTCCCAGTGTCTTTCCCAGTTGTAGGCGTGTCTTTCCCAGTGTCTTTCCCAGTTGTGGGGTGTCTCTTACAGTGTCTTTCCCAGTTGTAGGCGTGTCTTTCCCAGTTATGGGCTATCCTCTACAGTGCCTTTCCCAGTTGTAGGCATGTCTTTCCCAGTTGTGGGGTGTCTCTTACAGTGTCTTTCCCAGTGTCTTTCCCAGTTATGGGCTATCCTCTACAGTGTCTTTCCCAGTTGTGGGCGTGTATTTCCCAGTTGTGGGCGTGTCTGTTGTGGCATCATTCCCCCTCGTGGGCGTATCTGTCACGGTGTCATTCCTGCTTGCGGGTGTGTGTCTGATAAGTCTGTTCATTATCAGGTGATCAACTAGTGAGAGCAACTGCCAGCAGGTGGAGGAGATGCTGTGTGAAGTTCTGTGTGCTGACGTTGCAGGAAATTTGAAGTTGGGTATTTTGTACACTCAGGACTGAACGAAGAAACAAAAAGAAATATAAGTCTAAACAAAAATGAGCTTCAATGAATCTACTGTAGCGATGTAGAGAACTCGGCTGGGATGAAAACCTGACTGTTCTACCGGACACCTCGTCAGCAAAACCTACCATGTCTCCCAGCGCATCAGTAGTATAATAAATGTTACAAATCGACGTCACAATAAATCAATTAAATGTTACAAACCCACGTCACAATAAATACATTAATGATTTGACGATGAGCAGTACCGTGGAATAAACCCGACTTTCAGATCTGGGTCACTTTTAAGGGTCGTGTGGGGGGAGACTTGATGCCTCTTTTGCATAGTTCCCAGCGGTGCCACGAAGCATTTGCTTGGGCAGCCTGTTGCAGATCACACACGTCGAGATCTGAAGGTATATTATTATCCGCAGACAGGAGTACATTAAGTAATGTGAAGCTATTTGTGTGCGTTCGCCAGTTCAGACCTGCCCGGCAAATGTCTGCTGCGCTCGCAAAAATGGGCTCGCAGCACCAAATTCATTTTATTACCACTTGGACTAAAAAGGCGAAACAGTTTTTTTTTGGTTCTCCAAAGAGCACCTTGTCATCCGTGCTGTGATATCCTCTCCTTTTAGCGTGCACCGCGGTCAATAAAAAACATCTCACTATGCGAAATCTAGCACCCAAGTCGAAATGTTGCTGAGAATGAGGGAGCGTCATCATCGCCTAGCAACGCTCCTAGCAACAAGAAACATCTGCCGTTTTAAGGACCAATGAGACTGCGGCGCAGCTGTGTTGTTGCCTGTTGCTCAAAAAAGGGATATTTTAAGATCTTGGGAGCGTTGCGTGTTTCAAGGGGGTTATTGGGAAAGCGATACAGCGCCTAGATATAAAAGGGAAACTTCAGTCAGTCCCTGGATCTGGACAGCTGACGCATATAACAAAAGAGACTCAATGTTAGAGCTTCGGACAGGAACAGAGCGGAGACTAACCCAACTAGCTCTGAGCGAGGATCAATTTTCATCCTAATTCAACTGATCTGCCAGCTCTTTGGGTGTCGGCAAGCTTGAGTAACCTTCAAGAGGTATTTGTTTAACTTCTTTAAAAAAAAAAACAACGAACTGCAATTAAACAGAGGGAAAAACACTTTTATAGTATATACTCCCGGGTCTGTGTACGTGTTTCATACGTTATAGTTTCTTTCTTGTCTTCTCGGTTCAACTATATATTAAATTCGCGGCGGGGAATGTTTGCTTTTCTGTGTATAATAAAATACTTCAGAAATCACAAGAGTGTTTAGCGACGCTACCAGCGACGGTGTTTTAATTGGTCTGACATAAGGTGCAAAATATTTTTCTGTTCTTTTTGAAGAATGCATTCCCTGCCTCACTCTTGGATGTCGCGGATACTCGCGTTCTCTGTGTCTTGCTCTCTGTAGCGGAGTATAGTGGTCGCTATTCGCTGCTAGACAGCGGAGCAAAGACGCTCGCAGGCTGTGATTTCTGCACACTACAGGAACTTGCAGTTTAAAGGGTTTTGGGAGATGTTACGGCACGGGGGACGACGATTTAGTATATCGTTAAATAATTTCAATACATTAAGCGGTTTGACTGACAACTACTGCGGAAGTGTAATCTCACGAGCGCTTTCCACACCATTTAAAGACCGGCGATGTATACAAACTAAGTCTTCTGAACGCACATCTCTCGAAATGAAGTGGAAACTGTTTATTTTTCCAATTACCAACATCGGGGGTGTAGATAGCTGACCTTTTTTAATTATAAGAATAATGCTTAACTAAAATCTGCCAGAAATAGATGATGATGAATATGCTTGAAATGCTTGAAGGATTATTCTTTAGAGCTGTTGTAGGTTTACAAATTCACTCAGCCTGAAAAATAAAGACGGGGCACTCCGACCGCAGAAACGTGTAGACGCCCCTTTGCTCAGTAAATTAATGAATGAATTGTTTTTTTTTTAATGAGAAACGCTAAAACTTGCACAGAATCAAAGTAAGCCAAGGAAAAAAATGCACAAATCCTTTAATGTATATACTGAAATGCTAAATGTTGTTCAACTCACAACTGAAGGTGTCTGGTCATTTTATTTTGTATGTCTACATTTTAATTCAGACATAATGTCTGCTTTTTAACAATGAAAAAAAACCCGACTTTTTATTTATACTTTTAATTCTGTCTTTTTAAGCAGCTGTAATTTAGCGGTGAATTAGAATGTATTGTATGAGATAGGTGTTACACAAACAGCCCTGTATTTAGATTTAATAGTAGTCCACGCTAATCTAGAACACAGTGTAATAACTGTTTTTGGGCACAAATTGCTGAGCTCGTCAGTGCTGTGGAATGCAGTGCATATACCAAGCGAATCCAATACATTTCCTGAACTCATACTGTATGTTGAACTCCATAAGTAGAAATGTTATTGCTGAATGACATGCGTGTGAAAGGTGGCTTTGCTGCTTGCCATTAATAATTGGTGTCAGTGAATTGTCTACACGTTCTGTTTCTGCCACTATTGCGTGCGGTGCAGTGGAATGACAATTCCAGACATGGGAAAAGCAATAGGTTTGCATATTGGACATAGTGCAATGACTTTGAAGAATGCTCATATTGCATGAATCATTCATGTCAGGAAGTCTCTGAGATTCTCTTGCAACATTGTGAGAATACAGTGCACATTTTGTTATTCTAGGCAATCTGCCTACTAACACTTATTGCTTGGATTAAGTGCCACCCCTAAAGCCTTTCTTTATCAAATACACAGCTGTAAAGAGGAGGTTCTAAAACAATGTTCACTGTGGAGAGGCTGACTCAGAGCACAGGGACCCATTCCAGAGAGCAGTTTGACGGTTGATTGCGATCTCCTTCAGGTACGTTTTCATCTGTGTTCCTCGTGGGATTATTCACCTTTTTCTTGCAGCACTATGCAGTTGATTAGGCATAATGTGGCTTTGCAGCTGTGGCTCCAGACTCGATGATGCAACTCCAGAAGGAAATCACAGCAGCGCTGTGTGAATGGCCCGTCTCTTCCCAGAACCTGCCTGCTGGCTGGATTAGCAGGCTTCTGTTTGGATGAGGGATAAAGAGCGAGGTGGTTGTTCATTTGGGTTCCTGAGATGAAGCTAGGCAAAAGTAAAGCATTCTCTTTCATGTTTCAGGAGTTCTCAGACCTGATGTCTTTAGTGAGGGGTGTCGATTTTGCTCGAAGAAGACATTGAAGATGATGTCCTTGCCAATTCAAATTGTAAATGAATTGTTCTGAATTTCCCAGTGGTTCTCACAATGCACACAGCGCCCAACTGGGGAACATCCACTCCTCCAATTTTCTCAGTGTTGACAATATCTGATATTGAATTCTCTACCAAGGAAAAGAGGCACAGATCCCCAGGGGTGAATCTAACAAAATGTTGTGCAACTCTGTTAGTAATCCATGACAATAAAGTGCTGATGTATTTAGCATCAAATTCAAACAAATTAGAAACTCACTTTCTGTATGTATGAAAATGATATACTGTATGAGATATATGTATCTCTAAAACTGTACATGATTTTTGGTGTTTATATGTCCCATAGTGTTTCAATTTGCCATACTGTTTGAGAAACACTGGGACCTGTTAGTCGTTATTTTCATTGATGTCATTCAATCATCTTAAATAATGACATCAGAAATTCACATTCAATCCGTGGAAACACTGATGAAATTAATTTCTGCCTGCTTTGTGAACCAGCAACAGCAGGAACTTCAGGAACCCAGAGAGATTGCATGTTGAATTATTGTCAGTCACACAGCAATTCCTTTTTTCACTTTGTATCTTTGAACAGCCAGTTCCTTCCAAGACAGACCAAGTAGATCAACAACGTCGAAAGTCGCTTACTTTAAGAGAAAATATGCAGAAGAGGAGGATTTACAGAGAGATTACCATGGGTATTTTCAGAAAGTAAGAGCATCTTTTATCTTTATGCGATAATTATTTCTGGCATTGCTTTGTTGGCTTGTGATGTGTAATTGTCTAAGTGCAGCAAACATCTTTTTTGCTGCTGAGCTTCTCTCTGGTGTGTGTTCTTGAGTCATGGAGAGATGTGAATGCCCATCTCATCTGCCCTTTTCTCTGAGTGTGGGGCAGTGCTAGCAAGCTCCTGAACCCAGATGCAAGAGAGAATTCTGCGCATTCTGGCCCCCTTAGCAAAATCACAACACTGCTGATGTCTCCTACTACACAAACATTCATGCTAACTGCTCTGCCAAGGGCAGAAGTACAAGCTGTGTTGTAGTTTAGGCTAGTAATGTGTATGTGTTTGGCATTCAAGCCCATGTCTCAGCCCACATACCATTCCACCTGATGTCACATGAGTACCACACTCACATGATTTGCACTCTGCACAAGTGCACAAGTAAATGCTACTTCCTTTTCTTCGCACTGTTGCAAATCTCACCTCTTGTATTTTGCCCACTATACCAGTCTACCTACATCTGGTGGCAGGAAGCATTCATCTTGACGAAACAATCCACAAGAAGATTTTGTCATGAGTAGAGGCCACTCAGTCATGAGTGCCATCTTCCTACATATCCAATACTTTCAGACTAAGCTTTGGAAGCTCTCACTGTGTCGTTCTCCTCTATGTGACTTGACATTGATCAATGCAGTGTGTGAAAATGCATTGTAGCGTCAATCCAGAATGCACTCTTAAGACGCACCCCTTAATTCCCTCATCCTTTGCTTGGTGCATATAGGACCAAACACTCTCGTGCTTCTTTCTCTCTCGTTAGCACTTGATATTGCCTGAGGACCGGAGCTGTATTCTAAAACTGTCCCTGGAGAAACTCAGATTCCTGGAAGACCCAGAAGCCTACCTGCGCAGGTCCGTGCTGATCAACAACCTCCTGAGGAAGATCCACAATGAGGCTGAGGTGGAGGAGGAGGACTTCCGGGCCTATGACAGGAGCCCGGGGCAAGGGCTGCTGTACGGGGATGGCAGGAAACGGGTGAAAGTGCTGGTGGCAGACTGCTGCGCGGAGCCCTTCAGCTACGAGGAGCTGCAGCACTATCATGTGGTGCCTTACGGGTCTGGGAACTGCCTGTACGGACTGGGCTACCCCAGCTCCCCACCAGACCACAGCCCTCAGCTACTGGTTTATAAACTGGATGACAATGGGTGACACCTTCTGAGCTGCAAACTGTTGGAAACCAGCACGTTGTGACCAGTCTTATTGACTCGAAGAAACAGATTACATGCATGTTAAAATGCTGTCAAGTTCAGAAAGTCGTAGCCAGTGATGCCTACCCATCACTGCTCTGTTAGGAGTCACCTCAATGTAGTTTAATTGACTTGGTTTCAAGGCCAGTAGCACAAGGAATTAATTGGAGAAATCAGATATTCGGTTACATTTACAATGCTTTCAAATGTTATTAGTAAAAGAGAGAAATAATGCACTCGGTAAAATAAAACTTTTAGAAAACAGTTTCCAGGTCAAGGCTTATGCAAACACAAGCACAGTTGATGTTTTCAAGGTTATTCCGATCTGCTTTTGCTGAGAAAAAAGTATTTTATTAATCAGGCATGAGAATGGCTTAACCTCTTTGAAGCCAAGAATGTTGCATCTTTGTAGACTGGTCATGAGACTTTGACAGGGGTGCTGCTGTATGGTACTGTACTGTTGTGTTTTAAGCTGTTTGTGTTACGAACATAATTTACTAACACATTTGGGAAAATTAATTCCGTTACAGGACCACTATGGATGATTCCAAATCATTTTGCTTTTAAATAGCTGAATCTATGAATATATTTTTCCAGTAATTGGAAGGGAAATTGCATGTGAGAGTGATTAGGGTTTTGATGTTGTATGTTTTGACACCATTTTGATTAGTGTTGGCTTTGTGGACACAGGCCAGTTGCTGAAAGCGCTGCGGTCTGTTTTCCAGGAAGTAAGGTAGTGGTTTGTGTCGGTGTGAGTGGTAGCTGACAAGTACCAGTGCGCAGACTCATCCTCTGAGTTGTTTCCAGCAAGGCTTAAAGAGGACATGCTTTCTGTGCTTTCACTGCTGCAAAAACAGTCTCAAACCTTCTGTGCAACTTTCTGCGTTCCTTACACACCACGGACTTCAGTTCGCTCTTTAGAACGAAGTAGACATGCAGTTCGCTATATCCTGATTTTAGTGGTATGATAAAACTTAAGGTTGTATGCATTTAATTTAGGCTTTTCATGAGTTATATTGTATTTGAACGAAGCGTTCTGTGTTTTTGTGGTGGAAGTGGCGTGTAAATGTAGTATTGATTGAGTGGATGAGGGACTACCGGCACCCACGGATTCAGCCCACGGTGGATTTAGATGTGGTTTTGCCGCCCTCTGCTGGTCACAGGAAATTCGATGGAAAAGAGATGCGTTTCAGTGGATCAATATTTCTATAAATGAGATGGAGATTATTGAAAAATGCAAACTAATCGACTCAGAACAACTGGAGGTTGAGAACACAGAGTCTGCAGACCATGACAGGTCGAAAAATGGATCCAATGGTTTATTTCCTTTGTAACCTTATTCTCTTGTAATTGTGTCCTAATAATGTGTTTACGATGCTGCTGAAGACATGTCAGATGAGTTTACTTGAGTACGTCTTGTTTTTTTTCCAATACCGATGTAGAACAGGCTTAATTAATTGGTACAATCACTGCCAGGATTCCGATATTTTACGACTGTTTCCTACATTTCCTTTAACCTGAATTGTTTCTATACTGCTTTGTAACTGTCTAGATGACGTTAGTTTTAATACCGTACGTTGCAGTGTGGGGTGCATTTATTATTCAAATCATCGTTGAAAGAAATTCCCTTTGTTAACGAAATGATTAAGGAAAGTTCAGAAATATAACCACAAGAAAACGTAATCATTCACACCACAAACAAGCGACTTGTAGGTCCGCCATGATACTTGGCTAATCGTGGATGGGCGGGAAATTCAGATTTCCATTGAAAGTAGCTGGATTTTGTTACCTTGAGCCGCTGTATACGACACGGCGATGGGCTGTTTTTTGGTGTTCGTGATTAAAATTGTGTTTTTATTCGTTTTTGAAAAATGGACACTACTAGCGCTTACATACCCCGCGTTGTATGAAAGAAGGATTTATCACTGACGGTTCCTGAAGAGTAGGGACGTATTTAAAAACCGCTTCACCCTGGCCAATTTATCATTTATTTATGATATAGCGTTTTTGACAGTGTTTATTTGAAGAATGTTTTGCAGCTTGTGCCAAAATACTTAAATTGACAATGATTGTAATTCGGGTAATTCAAATCTAAAGCACCTGTGCCCTGGATAATTGATTTTTTTTTCCGTCTCGTTGTTTATCTCAGTGGAAGAACTATGATATTAACGAAGATGATTGAATTCGCATTTTATTAATGACAATTTATAGTTGTACAATATGTGTGAAATTAATGTTCGCAAGTATAATATATTTTAATATGTGGCAAAACAAGTCCGATATGCACACCTGTTTTCAGATATTAAGACAAGAAAACTGCGCTGGAAGAGCAAAAATAGAAAAGTTGTTTCTTGTTGGAATTACGTTTTGTTTGGGTTTTGAAATACACACACTATTTTACAATATTTAAAAATATTTTTGAAAACATAAAAATGCATATACTTTTAAAATGTTATTTTGTTTGAGAGTGCTAAATAAATTTCAGAAGTTATTGCGTCGTGTTTCTCTCACAAGTGAATGCTGTAAGTGCTTATAAACACCAGAGCTACAACACTGCTATCTTGTGTCCAAGTGACGAAATTACAGCAGCGCTGCAAGTTCAGCAAAGCCCCTGGATTACAGAATTGAAAGGATTCAGATTCCGCAGGATTTGAAAACGTCACAATGATAGACAGTCATGTGACTTGAGGCTGCCGACACATGGACACGGCTCAGGTAAACCTTACCTGCTGAAATATTCAGCATATATCCAGCCATTTTCTAACTGCTTTTCCCAGTTCCAAGCTGGAACACCTCCAGGCAAGCAATGGGTGCAAGGCAGGGTATAACCAGTCCATCGCAGGGCAGAACAGACACAAACACAGATACTCAAACCTAGGATCAGTTTTCCCAGAAGCCAGTTCACCTGCCAGAATGTCTTTGGACTGTGGGAGGAAACCGGAGCACCCACACAAACAAACTCTACACAGGTCGAGAATTGACCCCAGGGCCCCAGTGCTGCAAGACAGCAACGCTAGCCACTGTGCCACTGCACCACTCTTCTCCATATTCCAGCCTATTTAAAATTCTAATGCTATCTCTTGTGCAGCAATTGGTATACAAATGTCCTGAAATTGTGCTTAAATAGCTGGTCCAGACTGTGCTTAATAGAGTTAAATTGGACTTTGTCTTTGGCCTCGCTGGTTGTTATAGCAGGCTTTTGCAATGTCAGACGTTAACTGAGAGCGTGATTAAAATAACTACCTAGACCGTTGAAAACGGTATTAAAACCTTTTAAAAGCAATTTCTACCATAACCCCACTTGGAGAAAAATACCTCTTTTGGCTTAATTATATTGGTAAGAAAGCAGCTCTGTTATTTTGCATTAATGGTACGTGCTTTACAGATCAGCTGCCTGCTTTGTAATTGCAGTTTGAGTGCATAAAACTGCAGTCCTATGACTACTGTGGTACATTACATAACCAATCAAAATACCACTGGGCCCTTGACACAAGAAAGATAAATGATGGAAAGGGGCAGGCAAAGCACTTTACAATGAACAGCCGAGTCCGTGCTTTAAAGAGGCCTTTTGTACCTAGCTGCTGAAAAGCTTTGGCACCGTCTGGCTCTTGATGGGTGCTGCCTGCAGCTGGCTTTGATCTTTTTCACATAAAAACCCGTAGTGCTCATTGCAGGCCACTCAGGAACAGTGTGACAAGGGCCACATTCTCCCCTGTGCTGGAGATGTGCGTTTCCAAATTCTGAAGACCTGAGTATTTTGGAGTGCATTGGTTTTATCCATAAATGCTGCTTGTGGTTAAATTGATCCTTGGATCAATGAACTGCTAACTACCAAACCTGCAACAGGTTTGCTATTTTCGTTTTTCAATCTGTCAAATTCAGCAAATAAATAGTATTTGTGCATTAAAAGGTGCAGGGGTATGGCATGTTTAAGTTTGTAGCCTGCAAAGGTTGTGCTAGCTTCTTTTCACTTTGAGATTAGGTGAAACATGCAATTTGAACAGGGGTGTTCAAGCTGTTGCACGCAACTGTGTGTGAGCGGAATGGCCCTCTCTTGTTTGAATCCTTCCTTATGTTCTCATGCTTCAGTCAGTATATCTCTGCATGAGGAGTTTACAGCACAGATTCCATTCACTACTTCATTGCAGAAGTTTTGCTGTTGCTTGGCTCCAATGTTTTTCAAATTTAGGTGTGGCAGGTCCGCTTCTCCCAGCCATCCTTCTGCTATCAATGTGTTTCTCTGGGTGAACCCCAGGGCCAGATCAAAGTCTTAGCGGTCCGTCTGTAGATGAAAGATGGACAGATCCTGTGCAGTAAGGATATTATGATATACTAATTGCAGGCTTGACTTTTTTTCTGGACTGTGTTTTAATATCTTATCATCTGTTGCTCTTCTTTGGACTCCCTCCAATGCTTCTTGATCCCTTCTGTAAAGTGGAGACCAGAGTTGTACGCAGTACTCCAGATAAGTGATACATAGTACTGTTTCAGCATAATCTCTGTTGACTTGTATTTGACACTTCTGCTATGTCATCAAGCATTTTTTTGCCTTTTTAAGAACACAAGAAATATGACAAAGTCATTGCCTGTTTGACAGTTTTATTGCTTAACGACATTGCTAAGATGCTGAATTAACCTTCTACAACCCCCTTTACTTATTATTCTTTCTGATTCTGAACGGGGTGATGTTTTTTAAGTGTGTGATTTCCACTATTTCAAGGTGTTCTGTTCTTAATTATATATCATTTCTAGTAAAGGGCATATCTGCGATGGCCTTCTAATTCATTATGATGTGCACTATTTTTCCCCTACAATTTTTATTTTTTATATTCCTCTACACTTTTTATGCACTTTAACTCAATCTTAACTTTTCTTTTCCAAATAAAATCCCGATGACGGCATTGGACATTATTGTTAGCTTGCACTTGGACTGTTCTCTTCAAGCTGGCCTTTGAAAGTTTTGCTTTCTTCTTGCAAAAGAGATCTTATTTCAGGACATTCTTTTTTCAGTGTCCTCCAAGCTGTGTAGTCTGTGCAACAGTCATTTTTCTTCACCAGCCATTCAAAAAACACTTTGCAGAGTTCTTAATTAATTCAAATTAAGTTTCTTTTCCTGACTTTATCCTGCATGTTTAGATTATCATTCTAGATTTCTCCCAGGTTGGTCAACTGTGGCTAAGGATCTGCACCTGTGGGTGGAAGGTTGCCGGTTCGTATCCCGCGGCCGGCAGAGGAATCCTACTCCATTGGGCCCCTGAGCAAGGCCCTTAACCCCAACTGCTTCAGGGGCGCCGTATAAATGGCTGACCCTGCTCTCTGACCCCAAGCTTCTCTCTCCCTGTCTGTGTGCTTGTGTGTCTTGTGGAGAGCAAGCTGGGGTATGCGAAAAGACGAATTTCCCATGTAAGAAATTGTATATGGCTAATAAAGTGATCTTATCTTAAAATAAGTTAATTGACAGTATGACAAAATTTGACAAATTCCAAAATAAGCATAAAATCATGAACTACTGTGAGTCGTCTTGTTGCCGCAAGTCCCTGATCTGGGGCAAAACTAAGAGTTTGTGAGAAGTGCGTCGTGAAGCAGCCCTTCCTGCTCACTAGTCACTGTGATTACTAATGTAATGCGATGTACGAGCGAATACGTACAGGTTTTCCAGCAGACATATCACAGCAGAAATGTTCCAGCATGACCTGCGTACAGAGCTAACAAGTAACTAGTATTTGTCCGCAAAACTGTTTGGAAGTTGAGAGCAGTATTTTTATTGGATTAAAAGAGATATGCTTGCAAGCCTGCTTGTTCATGATGTTATAGGGACTCTTCACATCACTAGATGTTTTGTTGCCTCGTTCTGAATGGCAGAATATGGCGCTGTGTGTAAATGGAAATTTAATGTATTTTGTAATGTAAATTGGAGGTTTTGCAAGGTACTGTGGTACCTTTTACTTTTATTGCAGTTTGAAATGCAGTGCTCAATGCCTAATCTTTCTAACCCTGAAGTATAAAAATAGCGTTGCATTTCCCCTTTAATGGGAAATATAACTACAATACTAATAGTGACCATTAGAGGTCCTCACAGCCCAATGGTCTCGCAGTGAGAGACGCAGTACATTGAATTGACAGTATTCTTTGTACTGGGGGGGAGGGATGATGCTCAGACAAGTTAAAATGAACCAGTTCGATGTTCTTCATTGTAACAGTTTAATGAACTGAAACATCTTCTCCCAGCATAATAAAAATTCCTAATGTCTGACAGGTGTTATTGTATAACAGGCAGTATTTAAATTCTAGTGCAAAGACTGAGACGATTAGGGGCTTTGCTGGAATAGAGAATAGTGGAATGTTTCTAAACTAGCATTATTAAGGGTGGCCCATGTGTGTCCGGTTAGAGTCCATGCCAGAGTGGGTA